TCGAACGTAAGTTACTACGTCAACTTCACGAAGAGCTAGATCATCGCAAACAAAATGGGGAAATTAACTTATCCATAAACTACATCAACGGAATTCCACAAATCATCTCTTCCATCTCAAAAAACCACACCAGAGGGCGTCTCTCTCACACCAGTCAACTAGCCGCTTAAACACATCCTCTGTCAACGCCCTCACTGAATCTTTTGGTTTCTACCAGAATTGCAGAGGATTAAGAACTAAACTACGCAATGTTATTTGTAATGTATCTAGCTTTAATTTTATATTTATTTCTTTAACCGAAACATGGTTACATTGTAATATATCATCTAGTGAATTAGGATTATCTAATTATTTTGTATATATATGTGATAGAAGTAACCTTACGAGTAACTTAAAAAGGGGCGGTGGGGTTCTCATTGCTATTCGGAAAGATATCATATCTTACCCAATAACTGTCTCTAATAATTCAGTAGAACACCTATTTATAGGGTTCCACTACAAGAACACTAATTATGTTATCTCCAGTGTATATATTCCTCCTTCTAGTCCCTCTCTCCTATATGAATCTCACATGGAAACGGTTGAATCCTTAATCAATGCGAACCCTACCAATACATATTTATTCTGTGGCGACTATAATCTACCTGGATTATCTTGGTCAAACGACTCTGATGGACTAACTTTTTCTTCAACCTCTGGTTCTTCTGGCTCCTGTGTTCCCGAAACCTTCGCTTCCTTAAACTTTTTCCAGCATAACTCTGTCCTCAACTCTTCTCAATCCACACTTGACCTAATATTTTCAAATATTGCAAATATCTCTGTTGAAAAGAGTCTCAACCATCTCGTTCCCTGTGATTCCTTTCACCCAGCTTTAGAGATTTCACTTTTAAACATCCCTCATATACCCTTTGTAAATAACTCCCATACATTTTTTGACTTTCGCAAGTCTGACTATCCAAAAATAATTTCTTTCCTAAATTCTTTCAATTGGTCCTCAACTTTACTCAACCTTGATGCAAATTCTGCAGCTTATTGCCTGTATGATGCCTTACACTACTCTATACTCAACTTCGTTCCCGAAATTCGTTTTACTCCTTCAAAGTTTCCTCCCTGGTTCACAAAGGAATTAAAAACATTAGTGTTCACTAAAAAACGAGCACATGCCACTTTCAAAGCTATACACAACCAGCAGGACTATTCTGCATTCTCTAAATTACGTGCACAGTTTAAATACTTGTCCAGAAAATGTCACAATAATTACCTAACTCATATTGAATCCCAAATTAATAGCAACCCAAAATCTTTCTGGAAATTAGTACGCAAGAGTCGTTCAAGCTCTGGGCTACCTAATGTCATGCATCTAGACGCTCAACAATACTCAGGTAAGGAACAAATAGCTAACATGTTCTCCATTCACTTCGCTTCCGTTTACAAACCATCTAGTAGCTCTGCCTTACCTAGTACCCCATTTCTTTTTCACCAATTGCCTAGTAACTGTCACTTTTCAGTTTCCGATATAGAAACTAAATTAAAAACCCTATCAAACACTACAAGTGCTGGTCCGGATGGTATTCCTGGTTCTTTCTTAGCTAATATCAAATCTGTAATTTCAGTCCCCCTATGGATAATATTTAGGCGTTCACTTGATGACGGTATCTTCCCTGACATTTGGAAATTATCTTCTGTCACTCCTATCCACAAAACCGGAGATCGTGATGACATCCGTAATTACAGGCCTATATCTGTTCTAAGTCATCTTGCAAAGCTCTTTGAATACCTAGTTGTCCGTAGTATTCAATCTCCAGTTAACTCTATTCTTATCGACGAGCAATATGGCTTTCGGCCTAATAGATCCTCCACTCTCAATAGTATGGTATTTAACAACTACACTTTACAGGCTCTTGAAAACCATTCTCAAGTGGATGTAATTTTCACTGACATCTCCAAAGCTTTTGACCAAGTAGACCATTATATTCTCATTGACGTTCTTTACAAAGCAGGCTTCGGCGAACCGCTACTATCTTGGTTCAAATCATACATAACTATGAGAAAGCAATGGGTAAAAATTTTAGATTGTCGCTCAAGTTTGATAAACGTTACCTCAGGGGTCCCTCAAGGTGGTCATCTTTCTCCAATTCTATTTGCTATTTTTATTAACGGCTTGAATTCTGCTCTTAAGCACTGCCGTTTTTTGGCTTTTGCTGATGATGTTAAATTATTTTCATGCGTCAACTCCATTGATGATTGCATACGCCTTCAGAGTAAATTCAATTGTTTATCCACCTGGTTAGAGAACCATGGACTATACCTCAACATCAGCAAATGTCAGATTATGTCCTTTACTAGACGCCAAGCTACTATTCTATTCGATTATTCTCTTAACAACCATTCCATAACGCGAGTTACTGTAAAGAAAGATTTGGGTATCCTTCTAACTTCCAACTTAGACTACCACTCCCACATTGAGCACGTCACCTGTAAATCTTTAAAGACATTAGGTTTTATAAAACGCTTCTCTTCTAATTTCAATCTAACCTATTCTCTCAAAAATTTATACTGTGTGCTTGTAAGGCCGATAATAGAATATGGTTCCATTCTTTGGGATCCTTATACAACCTCTGACTCTTCCCTACTTGAGCGTGTTCAGCGTAAATTCCTTAATTTTGCATCCTTTTGTCTTAATATCCATCATGAACCTCACGATTATTCCCCAGTCTTACACCACTTACAACTTAGTAGTCTTTCCGATAGAAGAGTTTTTGCCAACATTATCTTCCTAAATAAACTTACGAATGGTACCATAAATGCTCCCGAGCTTCTCGCTGAGGTAAACTTTCGTGTTCCAAGTAGGTCTTCCAGGCTAACGGCCCCCTACTACGTTCCTCGACACACCACTAACTATGGCCGAAACCACCCTATCCACCGAATGATGCGTTTAGCAAATGAGAACCTCTCGAGTCTTTAATCTTTAGTCTTTGTTTTATATACAATATTATTATAATGTTTTGTCTGTATCTTATTCCATTAACTGTACTTTGGGCTAGTCCCGTAATGTAAAATAAATAAATAAATAAATGACACTGGTCGTAAAAACATTAAAATTTGAAATGAGAACATGTATCATTGTTCTAAATTAAACCAGGATAAAAGAATAAAACTTGTTAAATGAAAATTATTCCATTAATTCAGAATAAATGATAAATTAATGCATTCATGACTAGATTGAGAAATCATATATGTAATTTATAATGGTATAGTGTATAAATAATTTTTTTTTTCTAATATCAAACAGTACTGTTCTCTGTTAAGTATTTCTCAATTTTTTTTCACAATAGTCAAATTATTATTTAAATAATAAATTTAATTACTTTTAGATTTAACATTTATTATAGGTACAAAGTATTTTTATTATTTAATTTACTCAATTAAGTAGAGCTTGTGGCGAGGTAAATGAGTTGTTCGAATACAATAAAACCTATATATTGTTAAATTACAAAATTATTAAGATACTTATTTCCTAAAATGGTATACAATTAAATTTCAAGTGAATTCATATTTTCATATAAAATTGGATAGGTATCTATGAATGAATAAAATACATTAAAAATCATTATGTTAATAGTTTTATTTATTTTAAAATATTATGAATGGAATTATACATATATATACGAGTAACTATAATATTATGGAATCACTTTTTTCCATGGCATCTATAGACTTGCCACTATATTGTTTAGGAGCTTTGATTTTTCTTCCTAAATTTTTAGTCTAAAAATCACAAATCTGTTTATAATATATTTTCTAAGATTATGACATTCTGGAATATAAAATTCAATTTTATTCATTTGCTGTATTAAAAACTTCTTAATATCACAATTTTGGTCTTTGATATGAGGAAAAAACTTCTGGAAAGACTTCCATTTTTAAAAAGAAAATCAAATGTTTTTTTATGACAAAAGAATAAACAACCTTAAGCGTTTTAGCCTAGATAATTTTGTGAACTCATAATCAATACTTGAATTAGATCCAACAAAATTTAAACAATTTTTACATAATTTAGACTTTTTTTTAATGCTATGTACTATATAGCCACAAATATTGTATAGAGAATTTAGTTTACCATTATTTAGTAAAAGAACATGTGGCTCAACTAATTTATCAGTAATTTTTACTTCTGACAAGTTATTGCACACTTTAGGTTTTTGTATGACATCCAAAAATCCTGACAACAATTCCCTTTCGTCTTCATCACAGTTTCCATTGGACATATCTTTTAAGTACTGTGAAACAGTAACTAGTTTTAAATTATTTTTTACCTGCAGTGCATTAGGTACAACATTTTTTGATCTTAAAACACAAAAGAGATTCTCTAAACAATCCTGAGTGAATCGTGATGTTAAAAGAAATTTGAAGCCCTTGTCATTCAAAAAAATATCTTGAAGCTGTAGTATGGATGTAGTAGCAAGAATTGATCCACTTTGAGAAGGTTTCCATAATGTCTTTACTAAAATAAATAAAACAAATGCAATACATTATAATTGAAGTATATATCCATGATTTATGAATAAAATTTATATTATTTACCTCCAACTTTTAGTTTTCTCATATCAATAAATTGATTCAAAAATGAAATTGCCTCTTCGTAAACTAATGGCTTCAATTTGCTTAATGCCATTACTGGACTTCTTGAAGTCATCAAGTTAAACCATTTATCAATAATTGCAATGTACCAAACAGTAGTCAAGTATTCTGGTTTATGTAGTTCTTCAGCAAGAAACCTTAATGTACTAGAGACATCGTGGCTTATAACATTAGTAGATTTAGACACTTTCATTTTTTGAAAGTGATTCGGAAATAAATCTTGTTCGGTGAGTTTTGGAGCCAATTGGAATTTTAAATTTTTTTGATAGTTTACTACATCTAATATATGTTGCGCACAAATATCTCGAGTGGGCAAGTTATATTTTTTTTTTATATCATCAGTTATGGTTAAAACCTTGTTAGTCATCAACATATTCTTCTTCATATTTTAAAAAGATGTACTGGATCTGGAACAATGTAAATTTTTCGAGTTGAATCATATGGATGTGGTATGGATGTGAAACATTAGATCTTTCCAAATTAGGCTTTCTTTGTTTTATAATTTTTGTAAATGAAAACAATGTTGGGAAAGCATTACATTTTAAACGGCTACTTCCATCTTCCCTAGTCTTCTCCCACATATTTTCTTCAAAATGAACCTACAAAATACGTATGTTTATACATAGCAATACTTTACTAATAAATTCAATCTACAAAATAATTTTTGATAGGTGCTGTATGAAATAAAAAAACAAATTATAATATGTTTATTCTTAATAGTGTAGATTGTAAGAAACTAAACCTTTTGTAATTATATTTTATACATTATATTAGAGAAATATAATGCATAGGTAGGCGTGCACTGACTTAATAGTGTAACTATAGCTAGGTTTATAAATTGAAGAATCACTAATAAGTAAATATAAATTAATTATTATCTGTTCGTACCTTATACTATAGTGACTTGATAGAGTCCCTATCAAGTCACTATACCTTATACCATAATATCTGTGATCTATGTTATTTGTGTAAATTTTAATATTAAGTAAACTATACATTGTAATTGGGCACGTCCCATATTAAATAATAATTAATAAATAATAAATATAAATAAATATAATAGGTAGGTACTTAACTCAATTATATTAAATTTAGAACAATAGTTTTCTAGGGTCCGAAATTATTATGATGGAAACAAACAAAATAATAAGGATTAACTAATTGAATGATTAAAGTGTTTTGAGAATTTAGTTAAGTAGAATTAGCAGAAAACCTTATAACTTATTAAAGAATACCTACCTAATTATGGAATTATTAGTACCTATTATGCCTAGCTATCTAATTCTATATATTTGAATAAATAAATTTATCATCTATAAAGTAATTTAAATTATTTTGAGTATAATTTGTTTGCTTTAAGTAGTAAAATTATAACTATCTAAAACCAATTTTTACTTTGTGATGAGTTTTTAATGTTAGAACTTACCTCACATATACAAGAGTGTTGTGAAGGTGTCCATTTATCTCTTTTTATTTTGGCCATCCAAAGCTTTTTCCTAATAGGGTCTCTGGGAAAATGTTTCATTAAATACCTTTTTTTGTCGGAGTTTGAACACCCGATGGCTACACAACAAGGCATGATGATTTAAAACAGTAAAAATAATTTTTAAAGAAATACACTGCACACTGCCATGAATAGTGAAAAACATTTGTTCTTTTATAAATATTTTAAGGTTAACCAAATAATAAGCAACAAAACAACAATTAGGAGTAAACATGGTAAATCCGAAATTAATATTTATCAATATACTAACTTAAAACTAAAAATAATTTGATTTTAGACTGGCTACTTATTTTATATTTAAATTAAGTGTTGTTATCATAGGAAACTAATGGCGGCAAAATATCTAAACCAATCAAAAACATTCTCGTACATGGCCACACTATCTCTATCAAGTCACTATAGTTCCGTGAACGACCCCGTCCACCGTCCTTATGTCTTGAAAGGACTGCGGGCCTCTTCGGTTCAGAAGTAGCAATCTCAAGTGGAAACGGTTCCGGTCCATTGGGTTCACTACGTACATCCGAGCCAATGTAACGTTTGTCATCCGATTCACCCGCGGACGCCATTGTTTGACATTTCGCTGCCAGGTGTAATGCATCCGTAAAGAGAGTGAGTCTTATGCTCGTACATAACTAGTTACTATATTGTACACACGTGTCAAGGCTGACTACATATACTACATATTAATTGTATATTTCAACACCCTCCCTCAATTAATAATCTCTTTAATTGTAGCCACTCCTATGGCTGACCGCAACTTCTCGAATCGTTCCTTAACCAAAGGCTTGGTTAGAATGTCCGCAATCTGGTCCTCTGTTCCAATGTACTGTAGTTGGAATTGTCCCTCTTCGTATTTCTCCCGTATAAAGTGGTACCGTACGTCTATATGTTTTGTCCGCTTATGAAACTCTGGATTTTTAACTAAACGAATAGCACTCTGATTATCTATAAATAAAACTGGTTGTTTGTCACCTGTTTTCGATAAGCTTGTTATCAACCGTGTAATCCACAAGATCCCTTTGACAGCTTCACTGGCCGAAATATATTCAGCCTCTGTCGATGATAACGACACACAATGTTGTCTCTGCGATGTCCATGAAATTATGCTTGACCCGTACCTGAATAGAAATCCTGACGTTGAACGTCGTGTCTGAATGTCACCTGCGTAATCTGCATCGCTAAATATTTCTAATGACAATTTTGTTTTGTTATTAAAGTACAAGCCATAATTGAATGTTCGCTTGCTATATCGTATAATCCGTTTTACCAAGTTCCAATGAGCTTTAGTTGGTTTTGCTAAGTAACGACTAGCAAAGTTTACTGCATATGCTATATCTGGTCTTGTTACCTGTGATAAGAACAGTAAGCTACCTACTGCCTGCCTATAAGGAATATCTTCATTCAATATTTCCGTATCTTCCTTTTGTTCAAGTGTATGTGATTTGTCTATTGGTATTGAAAGTTCATTGGCGTCCAGCATATTAAATTTATTAATTATGCTACATGCATAATTTGTCTGATGCACAAATAATGAACCATTTTTCATTATATTTACCTGCATACCTAGGAAATAATCTAAGTTTCCTTTTTTAACCTCAAATTCTTTCTCCAAGTTTGTTAAAAGTTTATCTATTATTTCTGCATTGTCTGCAGCGATTAAACCATCGTCTACAAATCGTCGGTGCACAAGAATAGTGACATAACTCAAAAAAGTAGATTTTCCAGTACAGCGGTTTAAAGATTCCCCGTTTCTTGTATAGCTCATCACGGTGTAGGATCGTTAAAATTTTAAAATTTTTTTTTGGAATCAATAAAACTATTTACCTTTCATCCTAACAATAACAAGTTTATGTTGATAAAATAAAGAATAAACTTCTAAATTGTTCTATTCTCCTCCCCTCTTGTGGAGTTATGACGTTTGTTCCTGAAAACATTATACCACCCCTTCGTGATATGTTATTCATAATCATATAAATATTAAATCACACTGCCATTCATCAATACATAAAAACAACAATATATATAAATTACGACATAAACAAACCCTTTAATTTTATAATAAAAGATTTCAATCTTTATAAACCTTAATCGCCCTAAATCAAACAAACACTGATTACCACTTTCTATGATAACACTACCATAACCCGTCGAATCCGCCTTGTTCGGTACTTAGGAACTTCGTTAGTATTATAAAAATTAAATAAGTTATTAGAACATGAAAATAACAACCTTGTATTTGTTCTATAATTTAGGAACGTCATAACTTAAAATTATTGTCAGTCGTAATATTTAAAAAAATTACACACATTTCATAAAAAATGCATACGATTTTGGGATAACATTTTTTTCTAGTAGTTTCAGTAGACCTGTTTTTTTGGCCTCTAAATTTGGACCCTATTTTACTAGTATATAGCTGTTTTAGTTCATTGATGGTACTTCTGGTTTTCGATCGTCTTTCTTTCAAATGGATCTCACAAAATTCTTTTTCAGAATAAGATGTTTTAAATAAAATTTTTTGAGGACTTTCCTTTTCAAAACGAAACATGGACACACTTGTTATTTTAATGACTTCGCCATTTGAATCCTTCAGATTGGTTCCGATTAGAGATTGTTCGGCCAAATTCTTCAAATCAAAGAAGGAGTCGTAACTCATTTCATTGACCTGGTAAGGCCTTCCAGTTTTTTTTTGCACACGAATTAATGTAATGTATTGAGCTGGTATGCAAATTGGGCCTGATTTTAAAAATTTCTTGACAGTACGTTCAATTACCGAATGCACACAGTCACCCTCATTTTGACTGTGTCCCTTTACCAAAAACTTGTGTGTTATGGAATTTATATACGAGTATTTTTCTACAGCATAGCGGTACATCGACAACATAAATCGATTTTTCTGCTGACCACAACAGTTGTCACTGTAAAATATTACGTCTAACTTCTCCCCATTCTGGACTGATTCTCTATCCTTCAATGATTCGATGTATTTTAGGAACGCATGTTCCCAATCTCATTAGCTCCGCGTTTTGCTTGTGTCTCATCCCATACGTAGCAAAAAACGTCAGGATTTTTTGATTTCAGTTCGTAAAGTGTAAAATTAAATACATTAATTTTGGATACATAGTAGAAACCGGATGCCTCTCCTCGAGGGCATTGAAGAACTGCCTCCAAGTCATAAACTGCCACAATCAAATTTTTATTTTCACTATTTTTATCAGCTTTTTTTTCTTCACGAGATAATTCCTTTTCTACCAGATGTCGATCGTATTTATCTTTCAGTGTATTTTTTTCCTCTTCAGGAGCATTTTGATACTTTATGCAGTCTTCGCATTGATCTTTTTTTGGGCGATGAAATCCGATATTAAATTCCGTATTGAAAATTCTAGAGTACATAAGATAGTTAGCATATTGTGGTGCCTCAGTTTCTTCACGGTAGTCCCTATGTAAGTCTGCTAGAGTCTTGTCCCCTCCAATATATTCTCTAATGGAATCTTTTCGGCAGTAGTGGCTCTCCATCCTTGGAATGGATTTTATGTGACAACGTACTGCTTCTTTAATGCTTTCATCAACTTTTTTTTGCTTGCCATGTTTTCCTCGCTTTTTAGTGTCAATCATGCCGATGGTCTTATCATTGCTTTTGTTTAAAACTGTTCTAATTGGCCTGTCAGATATGGAAAGTGTCGCTTTAAAAAATGCCTTGCATACTCTTATCTTTTGACCATTAACAGAAAAATAAAATGCATTGTTTTTCTGTCTATGGCTGTTCTCGCGAACATACCTATATCTAGGCTCAACTGACTCCATACTTAATAACAGAAAGTTACGTTGTCTCTGTAAATCGCCTAGTGCCCAATAATTAGTAAAAATAGTTAACCGTTGGTCTTCGGTCACTTTTGTTTTGCAATGAAGGGTGCAGCTGTCTTTGCATGGTGGCCCCATTACTTTATCTTCAACAACCTTGGTTTCTTTTTTAGAATTGACATACTTGTATTTTTTCCCATGATTTCTGCATGCTTTCCTAATTGATTTATTCCACTGCTCTGGTTTGGCCTTTCGTTTTCTCCCTCTTATTTCTTCAACTTCTGAGGGTGCTTCTTCGTTGGGAACTCCATCACTCGACGTCGACGATGAACTGGAATTCTCACCACCATAGTCTGGATCCAAATCACTGTCATCTGTATTGTTATATCCTATAGATTCATCCTCAGACATTACGTAATCATTTAGGCTACTTTCTCTGTTGTCGTCAGCCTGTGGTGATGACCTATCAGCCACTCCAATAATGGTTATTTCATTTTTCTCTAATACGGCATTATGTTTGTGGTTCCGTTCAAAATATGAAGGTGGTACATTTTGTAAAGTAATAAACTCGTCAGAAGATGTAGGATTGACAAATGTATTTTCTAAAAATAAAAAAAAAAATGAACAGAGGTTGCCTGGCGCCCGCAGGCCACACTATTTTGTAGAACAAAAAAAAAAAAAAATTTAAAATTATCCGTTGCCCACGCGTGCTTTAAGCAAAATTAAAATAAATTCCTACATTTTTTTAATGGTAAAAATTACAATGCGATGTATATTAAATAGGTAAATATTTTTTTATTCAAGATTTTAAATAACTAATTATTACAAAAATCTAGTATAAAAAGTACGCTAGGTACTCGGTATATTTCTTATACAAGGATAATCTACTTATCATATATTGTATGTTTTTGAGTATCATAAACAAATTTAAATACTAATATTTCATAGTTCATAATAAATAAACATCTAATAATAATAATTAACATGGTAACAAAAGTGTTAGGAAAATTGGCCTCGCAAAAATAAAAATTATGATGCCCATAAACATAATATTAATTATGTTAGTAAAATAGCACCTATAAAAATATAGAATAAGCTTTATGATCATTATTTACCTGTTGGCAATAATTGAGACTTCTCGTCATTTTTCACTTCGTACAAAGTAGTTTTATTAACTATATCTGTAGTCAGATTGGGTTCATCTTGTTTAACCTTCACCAACTTCATTAGCAATCTCAACCTTCCAGCAGACGTCATGTTATTTTTAACTTGATCTATTTATAATTTAATACCAAGTCCAATAAGATAATAAAATTAAAAGAAATTATAAATGTAATAATATCATAATATTATATTATTATGATTATTTAATAAATTATAATATAATAGTTATAAAGCTAAAAAATAAACTCATTTACTGACAGAACTCCAATTATAACTGATACTATTTCAAGAAAAGTGTCACAAGTCTGAATAAGTTTATAATAGTAATTCAATTATTATATAAATTCCTCTTACTTGTTAAGCAGTAGTGACCTATTTTGAATTGTGTCACTGTTCAAAATAACGATTATTAATAATTTTAGAAAAAGTGTCAACATTTGGAATTTGTGTCGTTTTAGTTGAGAATAAATAATGATGTTAATTTGACTGTCGGAACACAACTAGATTTGTGTCACTTTTCGTGATTACAAACTAGCGATTATACGATATGGGAATGACACTACAGCTATCTTGCGGCGAATTTTGGAAACATCAAAAATGTCGTTCTTGCACATAAATATATGGGTATTTTGCAATGCATTTTTATAATAATCTCGAAAATGCCAATTTTTGTGTTGTGTCACTATTCTTGTGCACCGACGATTAATATTGCCAGAATAATTCTACCATTATATGCATTGAATTACACATGCATCCGCTTCGGTACATTGTAAACCAAATGCATTCAAAAAATTCTTAAAGCGTATATTCCAACATCTTGGACTTTGTTTTAAGCCATATAAACTACGCTGAAGCTTACATACTTTATTCGATCCATCTTCGTATCCTGGTGGTTGTACCATGTAAATTTCTTCCTGTAATTCTCCGTACAGAAATGCTGTCTTGATGTCGAATTGTCGTAGTACTAATTTTTCCACAGCTGCTACTGCGAATATCGCCCTAATTGATTCGTATCTGACCACTGGCGAAAATGTTTCATTGTAATCTATACCGTATTTCTGTGAACAACCTTTAATGACCAATCTGGCCTTAAATTTATCGATAATACCGTCACTTTTATATTTGGTCTTGAAAACCCATGCTTACGTAACGCAACCTTGCCCTGAGGCAAATTAACTAGTGACCAAGTGTTGTTTTTGTGTAGTGATTTAATTTCATCACTCATAGCGTGCTCCCACTCGTTTTTCTGTGGGCCAGCTATCGCTTCATCACGATTTAGTGGTTCAACGAGATTGGCGACGAACGACGACACATTATACCTGATCGGCGCTTTTAATGTATTCCGATCACGTAGCACCATGCCACTCCTGTTGTCGACCGTCGTCAATTCGACCTTGACCGGATCGTCCTCGACTTGAGTCTGAGTATCTGTGAATTCTAATTTGTCTGCAATTATATTATTCAATTTATTACCTTCGTTTTCGAATATAATATCTCTAGACATTGAAATTCTATTTGTTTTCGAATAATACACACGATAACCTTTCGTGTTATCCGAAATAGTCAACAAATATTCCTTTTTCGCTTTTAGGGTCCCACTTTTTTACGTTTTTGCTTTGGTATGTGTGTATATACGACAGTACCAAAAACTCGTAAGTGTTTAATGTCTGGCATTACCTTATAATATAACTCGTATGGTGAGTTATTTTTAACTGAACTGGTTCCTGTTCGATTAAGCGTGTAAACCGCCGTGTTTACCGCCTCCGCCCAAAGTGATACATCCAATTTTTTCGCACAAATCATTGTCCTCGCTGACTCTACTATTGTACGATTTTCCCGTTCCACTTTTCCATTTTGCAGTGGTGTGTAGGGAACTGTTAACTGATGTCGAATCCCGTGTTTTTGTAAAATACCCGTAATTTCTTTATTTACGAATTCTAATCCATTATCCGTTCGTAATATTTTGACCTTAGAACCTGTTTCTGTTTCAACACTTTTATGAACGTCTCAAAAATATATTTAACATCATATTTATTTTTAATAAAATATACCGTTGTATAATGCGAGTAGTCGTCTTTGAATAACAAAAAGTATTTTGAACCGCCTATAGAGCTTACCTCCATTGGTCCAAATAGGTCTGCATGAATTAAATCACCGACATTGTGATACTCCGTATTACTCTTACTAAATGATTTACGACTTTGTTTACCTATTATACAACTGCTGCTCATGAATTCGTCGTCCTTGGCCGAACATACTATTTCGTGTTTCGCCAAACAACTTTTTACGTACTGTAAATTCTGATGTGCCATGCGCTCGTGCCAAACAGACAACCTGTTTTCGACAGCTACCGTCGCGTACCCGTTTGTCGGTACTTCGACCTTGATGTTTAACTCAAACAACCTTCCGCATCTCTTACCTGAGCATACGGGTTTCCCCTGTTTAGTTAACATACACGTCTTACTATCTGACGTCAATACTAAACCTTTATCCATCGCGGCTCCGCACGAAAATAAATTAAATTTTAGTCCCGGCACGTGCAACACGTTTGCCATGTAATTTTTATTCCAATTACCGTTTACGTATGATAATATATTAATATTACCTCTACCTGCTGCATACAGATTCGTCCCATCACCTATCGTGATTTGTTGCGTGTTGTCCAGTGGTTCATAACTTGAAAACCACTCTCGATTTGCGCTCATATGATCCGACGCGCCCGAGTCTAGTACCCACGCATCTGTTGCAATATTATTTATACTTGACTCGCTTACGAATGCGTTCAAGTTCGCACCTATCGTACCGGTTTTACCACCTTGTACACTTTGTAGAAAATGTCTACAGTCTCTTTTATAATGACCTAGTTTACCACAGTAATAACACTTAATATTACTTTTATTAGTAAATTGATTTTTACCTTTTCCATAATTACGACTGCCGTTTTTTTCATCAGATCTGTTTTGAAATTTGGCCGGAAATGCACTCGATTTCTCTTGTTCACCAACTTCACCTTTGATCTGGATAACCCGTGATTCTTCAATCAACAATCGACTAGTCAAATTATTTATATTTTTACTTCCCGTTGGGACTGAATCCCAAGCACTGTAAAAATGATTATATTCTTTTGGTAATGTCATTAGTATTTTTGTCATAACCATGTTATCCGTAACTGGTTCACCCGCTACTCTCAGTTTCCTTCCTAAATTGACCAATTTAGAAATATGCGTCGACATGTCATCTGTCGACTTCTTTGAATAACTGAAAAATAGTTGTTGAAGCAAATGTAAACTTCCCTCAGACTTCTGCTCGTAAATACTCAGCAGTTTCTCCCACATTTCCAATGCAGTCTCACAGTTAATCAAATATTGTAATGGACCATCGTCCACTGAGGTAACTATTATTTTCTGACATTTACCGTCCGCTTTTATCCAAGCGCTAGTATGCCTTTGCCAACGTGCTTTGGCTTCCTCGTCGGTCTCTCCTGCCGACTTTTTTATAGGTAGACTTGGTTTCGTCCATTCACCTGAAACTATCTCACCTACCTAATTGTGATTGTATATTTTTTAGATTTTTCGGTAAGTGAATTAACTACTAACGTGGAATCTTGTTTTAAATTTTCAATCCTTAGCTATAAAAACTGATCATTTTATAATTTATTAATTACGATGATTAATAATTTTCGAGATTTTGAAAAATTCTGTCAAAATTCGATGTTTAAATGATTATAAAAAAAAATTGTGCCTATGTATTTTTAATATTTTTCAACTGATATTGTAACAATATACCAGGAGCCTTGTATTACATTTTTATACTTGTTGGCCCAACAGATAAAACTTTATTGATATTCATAGAAAAAAAAACTAAAAATAATGAAAAATGAAAATGTCCCTAAACAGTACAAAATAAATCAAAATATTTTGAAAATGTTATCGTGTATAGAAAATGCAAATATAAACAACCAGTGAAAATTTCATGTATCTATAGTTATTCGTTTATGAATAACAACAAAATAAGGAAATCGCTACATGAGAAATCGAGTGAACATCCAATGTTGTAAAAATTTGAATTTCAAACGCTCATAAAAATTTAATTTGACTTTCCGGTGGGGTTTTTTTATTGATAAATGTAGGAAAAATTTTACGAATTCTTAACTCAAAATAATTTGATAATTTTCGTGATTTTTCCATATTTTGTCAATTTTATCACTTTAAATGCTTAGAAAAAAAAACTGTGAATAACGATTATTAATATTTTTCATCTGCCTCTGAAACAATATACTAGGAGCCTTGTATTAAATTTTCAAGTTTTCGCAACCAACAAATAAAATTTTATTGATATTTCTAGAAAAAAAACTAAAAAAAAAATGAAAAATGAAAAGGTCCCTAAACAGTTCAAAATAAATTAAAATATTTTGAAAATGTTATCGTGTATAGAAAATGCAAATTTTTAACAACCAGTGAAAATTTCATGTATCTACGGTCATTTGTTTTAGAGTTACATCAAAAACAAAATTCAAAATTGCGTAAAAATTTTCGTTTTTTCTTAATTTTCATTTTGTTTTTCCCGGCGCTTTTGAAAACTATTGGGAAATGTTGACCTCCCCAATGCACCAACGATATTCACTTTCCAATCGAACAAGATACTGAAGTCGAAAATCGAAGCATTATTTCGACTACTTATCGTGTAAACCGACACAAAAATTAAAAAATTAAAAAAAATATATAAAAACACACATCATTGTAAAATTAATACATTCATCGTTTCACTCAGAATCTAAAAAAAACACATATCATTGTAAAATCAATACATTCATCGTTCCACTCAGAATCTAAAAATCTAAATTAAATTCCATTGTAACAATTATTATTACAAATTAAATGTCATATAATAATTATATTATAATCGTTTTAATGAATAAATTATTATTACAATAATTCAAATATGAACTATGGAGTCAGAATAATTATGTAAAAAAAAAACAAAATTAATTCAAATGTTATAAGTTATAACAAATTGGTAAGGTAAATATTTGAGAATAATTCATCAATTATTTTAAAATACCTTTTTTGTTTTATTAGGTGCAGAATAATAAT